ACGGAATATACGTGTATTTGCAGCGATCCGCAAGCCGACCAATATGGTCTACATTGTCTTAACTGTTCCAAAATCAAGGGCTGGCATGCAAGACACAATGAGGTCAACGACATCATAAAGAGAACCCTTGTTACAGCTGGATGCCCAGCCGAAAGGGAGCCCCATTCACTAGCAGCCAACAATACCCACAACCCAGCAAACTGCCCTGATGGGATCATCATCTACCCTCGGAAGAATGGCATGCTCTTAACATGGGACTATACCCGTGTGTCCACACTGGTTAACATCTATATCCATCACAGTGTCGGGCGACAGGGAGGAGCTGCTGACCACAGGGAGGAGTGCAAGATCAGCAAGTACAGGGACATAAACCAACAGTATCAATTTGTCCCAGTGGGATCAGAGACCTTGGGATCATGGGGAAAAAGTTCCACACGTTTTCTTAAAGAACTAGGTTCTAGATTCGTCAACACCACCAGGGACCCAAGAACAGCCACTTTCATGTTCCAGCGGCTAAGCGTGGCCATCCAGAGGGGAAATACATGCTGCATACTGGGCTAATATCCGGCTTTGGAGGAGCTGGAGGAGATTCATAACCTTTGATATATTGTACCATTGTGTGTTAGGTAAGACACATATGCAACAGTTAGGTATCTTTATTATGAAACGTTTCGCCTACACAGTAGGCTTCTTCAGTCAAGTACAGAAAAGTTGATAGAAGCAGAAGATACTTGAAGACGATGTAATCAGTCCATCACCCTTAAAGTTTTGAGGTGGTCAGTCCCTCAGTCTGGAGAAGAGCATTGTTCCATAGTATGAAACAATATTGTTTCATACTATGGAACAATGCTCTTCTCCAGACTGAGGGACTGACCACCTCAAAACTTTAAGGGTGATGGACTGATTACATCGTCTTCAAGTATCTTCTGCTTCTATCAACTTTTCTGTACTTGACTGAAGAAGCCTACTGTGTAGGCGAAACGTTTCATAATAAAGATACCTAACTGTTGCATATGTGTCTTACCTAACAACCTGTCGGTATTTTATACCATTTTAATGTTCATTGTACCATTGTATTCATGTTTGTGTTTTCTATCAATGTAATTCTGTCTATTAATAAAGTTAGCATGCAATATATATATATATATATATATATATATATATATATATATATATATATATATATATATATAATATATATATATATTATATATATGTATATTACACATATATATATATATATATATATATATATATTATATATATATATATATATATATATGTACATATATATATATATATATATATATATATATAAATATATATAATATATATATATATATATATATATATATATATATATATATATATATATATATATATAATAGTAATTAAATGACGTTTTGTTAATACAAAGAAAATTTACCTGTTTGGAGTAGATATTATACAGCAAAATATTCCTGTTTTTCTCAGTCCATGACGTGATGAAGTCTATGCCGTGTTCCTGATAGAACAATTCAAAGACACATCCTGAGGAGGAACCCTATGGTACTTACCCTGAGAGTGAAGTCATATGGTACTCACCCTAAGAGGAAAACCTTTGCCCATGGCGATGGAGAAGGTATCAGAGACTAAGTGGTCGCCAAAAGTAGCTAAGGTACAGCCAGGATCGTTAGCTCTGAGGTAGTCCAGCACCGCTGAGTCCCCCACCATCATGTCCAGCGCACCAGTACTGCAAGTACACAACACATCAGCTGGGAAGGAAAACAATCAAAGTGACTTTCCACTGGGTTCAGTTTCAAGCTCCGGGAATAAAAAGTGACATTAGGTAATTTGCTGACGACGACAAAAAGAAGGCCCATCAACAAATTCGGAGGATACCATATAACTTCGACATGATTTGGACAAGCTAATGTTGTCTACATAAAATCAGCAGAGGCAGCTCGTTGTGGAAAACTGCAAAGTCTCAATATCTGGAAATGAAAGTAACTCTGACGCCTATCAAGCAGGTAAATTTGAGAGTTTGGTTAGCTGACACCTGAAATCACGAGCGCAGTGCCTTTGTGTTTATAGTAAGGCCAATAGACATTTTGGAATTATATGATGAACTATAAGGAATAAGAATAGTCTCATAAGTACGAAAGAAGGATTTAAAAGAAAGGAGAACTTACTACTACTACTATCACTACTACTTCTACTACTACTTCCATTCCCAGCATTACCTCTACCACCACTTCTCCAGTTCTTTCTGCCTTTCTTTGTTCCGTCCCTGTCCTCCCTCCCCTATATATATACTGACTCTTCATCTTCCTGTGAAAGTGTGACTTGTAAATGGTCCAAGTCGGACCAAAACGTCGTCTTAAGCTTCTCTCTCCCACGTGTGCGATATCTGTCTATAAGAACTATAAGACTATACAGCCATTCATCATCACTGTTGAAGCTTGTTCATGATCGGGTCATGGGGGACTGTGACCCCCATGACCATGAAGGTAAGCGATCACTAATAAGGCAAACACTGAATTATGTGGCTGTTATGATCAGCGTTTTACAGATTGGAAAAATAAAGAGTTGAAAAAACATACATGAAGGATGACAAATTAATAATCTGTATCAGGAATCTTTCATAAGGAAATACTGCATACTGAGAGCACTAAACCTATGTTACTTGAAAGAAGTCGATTATATTATTATTATTATATTATTATTATTATTATTAATTATTATTATTTTTTTATTATTATTATTAATTTTATTATTATTATTATTAATTATTATTATTATTATTATAATTTTTATTATTATTATTATTATTATTATTTTATATTATTATTATTATTATTATTATTATTATTATTATTATTATTTTTATTATTATATTATTATATTATTATTATTATTATTATTTATTATTATTATTACTTCTATGTACAGCATTAAACTTGAAGGGGTCACACAGCGCCTAGGGAATGGGATGCATTCAGGTACAGTCCATAGAAGGGGAGGGCTGGTCCAAGTCTTTGGATCAAGAGCCCCCCCTCACCGGCGACAGGGATCCTCCCTGGAGGGTAAAAAGGCCTTAGATTGAGGGAAGACATAATTTAAATATGCAAATGGAAGATAACCTTAAATAAAGGTTAGGTTATCTAACGATGATAGAACTCAAGACAATGGAATTCAGATGAGTAAATTCAAACTGAGAAACTATATGAGAAAGTACTAGTTTGGCAAAAAGAGTTGCAAATGAGTAGAAGAAACTGCTAAGTAGCATCACTGTAGCGAATAACTTGATCCTAGGGAAGAAGGGAGACTCCAGTAGTTCCTTAGAGCAACACCCCTTCACCGGCATCTACGCACCTGTCTTGAAGGGAAACGAGGCGATTAGCTTCGTGCGTAAACCAGAGGATAATGATCGTGTAACGAGGAATTACATCGCACAAGAGACGCTTGCTCATAAGCCATGGTAATTATTACACAAGGGCTAGATGACAAAGTTGACAATCAATTGTATTTATCTTGAGGTTAAGGCAAGAATATGTGGTGGTTTACCTTCAAACTTATATCATTATCTCATCTCTCTCTTCTCTGTCTCTGTCTGTCTGTCTGTCTGTCTGTCTGTCTGTCTGTCTGTCTGTCTCTCTCTCTCTCTCTCTCTCTCTCTCTCTCTCTCTCTCTCTCTCTCTCTCTTCCTTTTATTTACACAGGATTTTACAAGATTAGGTTTAAGGTTCCTAACTTTATTTACAAGCTAAGAGCTGTTACCCTCTCTTCTCTCTCTCTCTCTCTCTCTCTCTCTCTCTCTCTCTCTCTCTCTCTCTCTCTCTCTCTCTCTCTCTCTCTCTCTCTCTCACTCTCTTAAAATTAAGGGTATTATACGATTAAAGGTAAAAGTGCCTGCATATCTGAAGAAAATATGAATTATACAAAAGCAGGTATACTGACAGATTGTATAACTAAGACACGTATGTACAATCAAGATATTGAGGGAAACATTTTGCCACTTGTTTTATTTACTTAAATACAGTGTTAGGAGTCTTACCTAAACATCTCTCCTCGTGCAGGAATCCACCCCAGATACTTTAGGTTTTGAGACAAACGCGCCATGACTGTGCAATTAGGCATTAATTGTGACAGTAGTATCGGTCTGGGTAACAGCGATATCGGTAATCGTATTGCATAGTGGTAGCGGTAACAACAGTTTACTGTACTCTTTTAAAAAGCGTGGTTAGGTTAGGTTAGCTTCGTCAGAAAACAGGACAAGTGTTTCCTGATGTGAGTCTTAGTCAGATGATGACCTGTCGTTGGAACTTTTGGTCATCTGACCGAGGCATCCCGCTGGCTTACCGGCCCACCCCTTTAAAAATAATGGTCAGTTATAACAATTTAAAAAAAAAAGTGAGAAATCATCAATTTATATCGAATTAGAGATGAAGTCAGTACCTCGGTTCCAACAATATTATGCAGTGAAAGACTAATCAACAGTAGCTACAGAGAATACTTTTAATAACCATCACAACGTTTTATTTCCAGAAAAAAATAACTACGAATTTATCAACAGTAGATAAAAGTAAATCCCTCAATTATTTTTTTGCAACAGAGTAGATTAAATGAATTTAGAATCGATGACAATATATAAATTAATCTTTTGTTGCACAGCAATCGAAGGGATTAGTTAGTCATATAGAGGACTTTGTCAGGAAAATCTGGACACAGGCCAGGTGATGTTGATGTATTGTGATAACCAGGAAAACAAGCAAGGCCAAAAAGGAAAAATATGCATGTTTTTTGGAAAATATTAATAAGGCTTTGTAAAATGTTAATATTTTACACTGCTGGCGGTTTTAGCATTTTTTTCCTGGAAGAAGTGAGAAAATTATCCTGTGTGTGTGTGTGTGTGTGTGTGTGTGTGTGTGTGACTCACCTATTTTTACTCATCTATTTGTGGCTGCAGGGATCGATTCACAGCTCCTGGCTCTGCCTCTTCTGTGATTGTGTGTGTGTGTGTGTGTGTGTGTGTGTGTGTGTGTGTGTGTGTGTGTGTGTGTGTGTGTGTGTGTGTGTGTGTGTGTGTGTGTGTGTTTGTGTGTGTGTGTGTGTGTGTGTGTGTGTGTGTGTGTGTGTGAGAGCGCATGTTCAAAATTTTGCTTGGTGGAAAAAAATCATATCTCCAGTACTGTTTCAGTCATGCTTGACATTCTCTTTCACTTACCTGGCCCCAAACGTTTAAAACACCTCGGCGGCCATTTGTTCATAGTGTTGAGAGCTTCCAAAAAGACGTTTGCGTACACTCGTTCTGTTGTCCCATCTGGCTTGGAGGAGAACCCAAACACGAGGCGACAGACGCCTCTATTGACGAACAGTTCCTGTCACTGCTTGATGGAGACAGTGGACCATGTTTGAGCGGCCTCTGTCTATACTCTCCCTCCCGGTTGACACAGAATGATTTTCGTTATATAAAATTGGAGTGATGGAAAAAAAAATTTTTTTTTTTTACGCCTTTGAAAGGCGGTACCTTGATGCTGACGAAGGGCTCTTGATGCAAGAAATTGGAACAACCCTCTTCTATTTTTTTGATGAAATATGATTACCTCCAATTCTCCAGATGTATGATTAATGAGAATTTAGTGTTTCACATGAATATCCTAGTAATATAGTTCTGTTTCAGGGAAAAGTAGTTTTAACTCTTAGTTGGCATCACATCCTTTAATCTACTGCTGTAATTCAGTGCTAGACTCTGTTACTATCTACTAATGAAGCCATTTCTATACTTTCAGTGCCATGCAATGTAATCAGCTGCATTGAATATATAAAACATGGTGATTATAGTCAGTTATTAGTCAGCTTCAGAACCAGTCTGGAGATCAATCTCTATTAATCAAATTTAATATGCTAGACATGTTGAGGAGCTCCTCAGTAATGTTATGTTCTCGTGAACTGTTTGTATGTACGTTGTATGCAGTGTTATTAATTTATTTTATTACCAGGTTCTTAAAGGCAGAAAATGCATTTGTCAGTCTTGCATATTTTGCTTATTTAGTCCAGTTTTAATGTGCAAATTGAAATAGGAACATTGTTATGGATACTTCCACCTCTCTCACCATCTACTTGAATTTCATTACGTAATGATTACTTTCTCTTAAGGGATCTTCGAAGATTTCACATTTATCCAATTAATGTCCTGTTAATTTCAAGCCGAGTCTGTGTAGTTCACATTACTGTCTCCTTGCTGTGAGGTCTTCTGTGAGCTGGTTCATTAGGCTTTTCTTTATCACCTCCATCAGCTTCACGCTTTATATACCACGTTCTCTCTGTGGGCACTAACTCTGCCAATCTGTTTTCCGTGTTAAAAATTATCCTTGATGAGTTTTATACTGGGTTTGGTTGTTTTTACTGGTAGTCTTTTCAGTAATCAAACTGCTCTTATACTCTCGTGTCGATTTTCCGCACGTGGGTACGTTATTTTTTTTTATACATTACTACTATGACTGGTCTGTGTTCTCCAGTTATTAGCGTTCCAGTTATTGAGAATATGATCATGGTTAAATCTGTGTTCCCACCCTCTATTCTTTCCTCGAATTCATTGGTTAAGTTTGCAAACCAATCAACCTTTGATTATATTGTTTCATAGCTCACTTGCTTGGAGTGGCACAATTTTATGTACTATGACGATTAACCGTATATATATTTCAGATATTTTAGTACATGCTTCTGCAGGTGATGGTGAATGTGTTTCCTTCTTTGAATTACTTTGTCTTAGCTGAAAATGGCTGCTGTGTTAATAACTGCTAAATAAATGAAAAGTAAAAACGTAGACTATTAAATGAGTGAAAAATATTGATTGACAGAAATATGCGAAGAGTGATATGAGGAACAACGTCATTGAGAAATGTGACTAGTGAGACCCTGTACTGACTCGTACTGAAGCAAAAATGATTTATATAAAGAAATAAGAGCATATAATTTTTCATCACACAGACAGCCTCATACCGAGGAAGGGTGACCCAAAAAAGACGAAACGAAAGTTTTCCTTCTTTTTACTTTCAGTAATTTATACAGGGGAAGAGGGTACTAAGCTCCTTGCTCCCGGCTTTTCAGTCGCCTCTTACGACACGCATTGCTGACAGAGGAAGGATTCTTCTCCACTTTTTCACGGATAAGTATATAAATATGTATGATAAATTTCGAGTAAGACTACTGACAACATAGTAAGCAAAAGGACATGTATGATACTAGTTGTAGATATATCAATTTATCTAACATGAACATAGTTACCGATGATACAAACATACTATGTAACACATGAGATTATAATGACTAAATTTCTATAAAAATATAATTTGAACAAGTGGAATTACAAATAGATGCCGACTGTGGATAACTTAGACATAGTGGAAACGGAAAAATAAAAACATTTGCCATTATGTTGACTGGCTATAGCTTGTAATGATCGGACAAAGAAACTAATCTTGGAATACTAATTGACAGATTATCCAGGGATGATTACGTATTTGTTGCGGTGAGAAACTCATTTCAGTATCAATATTTATACAATGTTGAATTTACAGGCGGTTAAAAAACTAAGAGCTGTTATCCTATCTCAGTTTATTTCGAAGTCCAGCAGCACCACCACACAGGATGTGACCTACGACACACAACAAACACCCACGTAGCTGCTTGTTGGAAAGCAAAATCCCTGACAGAGAAATATAACATAAAAAACAAGGACACATTTAGCAAAGTATGAGTTTATTAGACATAATAATGAAGGCTTATTGTGTTAATAGTGTTTCTGTATTACTCTACCCAGGTACTTATTAACTGCTAGGTTAACAGTGCAACAAATATAAGGAGACAAGAATGTCAGTCTAGAAATGAACCCAGAGCCTTGAGTTGTGAGCCAGAGGCGGTACTACTGAGTTCCGAGCTCATCTATTAAATTCGCTTCAAATAAATCTGGGAAACCGCATAAAAAAACGGCTCAAAAAAATCGTATGACTAAAATATGAATATGTAGCTGGGTTGTAATGTCGCTATTTGGCAAAATTTATATAAAATAGGAAACGCTCACAGATATGCTACAAAATCACTCTTAAAATTTAAAACTATTGTAGACAAGAACTGTGGAATATGATAACTATTAGTTAAAAAAAAAGGATAACTACGAATTAAAATCACGATAAAATAAGCATTTTTTTTTCTACATTCCAAGGAAAGCTCTAAACACGAAGAGATCATTCAGTACCATGTAAATAGGGTGTTATCTAAGGCATAGGTGGATACCTTCAGTTGTTTGGATCTGGAACAACTGAGCAGCATCAAGACACTTTTCTTAAATGTCTCAGCTAAGGGCCCCTCAAGGAAGGTTCCTTGATGTTGGTGAGGGGCTCTTGATTTAGGGAATTGGATCTGTGCTCCAGTTCCCCGAATTAAGCCTGAATGCCTTCCACATCCCCCCCTAGGCGCTGTATAATCCTCCGGGTTTAGCGCTTCCCCCTTGATTATAATAATAATAATCAGGTAAGAGCACTGCAATGACGGTAGGAGACCAAGAAATCGAAAAATTTGTATTAAAAGTAGTATCGGAACTGAGAAATGAAGGAAATGAAAATGATGACAACGAGAGACATGATTGCGACAAACAAAATCCTAAGAGGAATTGATAGGGAGGATAGGGGTAGACTTTTTTTGAGTTAAAAGAACCATGGTGGAAGGTACACAGGTGGAAGATGAAGATACAGACGAGCCATAGGGATGTAAAGAAGTATTTCTTTAGTCTCAGGGTAGTTGAGAAGTGGAATGACTTTCAAAAGTCAGTGACGGAGGCAAACTCAGTACGCAGCTTCAGAAGAAGATATGATAAGGATTCTTCTAGACTACTTAAATCGGTGAAACCGACTTAGGTAGTCTAGAAGGGAGCAAAAATAGTCTCGTCCCCAACCAACACAACTCGGCGAGCGCGCGCGCACACACACATACACACACAACACACACACACACACACACACACACACACACACACACACACACACACACACACACACCACACACACAACACACACACACACACACACACACACATACACAACACACACACATACACACAC